TTAAAAATGCAGTTTTAACATCCATTTGGTGAATAAAAAGTTTATAAATAGAAGCCAACGCAAGTAAAACACGAATTGAGGAAATTCTAGTTACAGGAGCATAAGTATCAAAATAATCAATATTTTGCTTTTGGGTAAAACCTTTTGCAACAAGTCTAGCTTTGTATTTATCAATGGAACCATCCGGATTAAGTTTCTTCTTAAAAATCCATTTACAACCAATGGGTTTAGCTCCCGGAGGTAAATAAACTAAAATCCAAGTTTTATTTTGTAAAATTGAATTTAATTCTACATCAATAGCTTCTTTCCAAAATGAGGCATCAGACGAAGAAATAGCTTCAGAATATGTTAAAGGATCATTATCCACAAGATAAGTATAAAAATCATTATCAAAAGATTTTTCTTTCCTTGATCTTTTGCTTCTTCTTAAACCCTCACTTTCAAAATCATTTTGAAAAATTGGAACATGTGAAATTTTATCACTTTTAATAATAGGAGCATCAAAAATATTCTCAAATTTTAAAGAAAAAATATTTTCAAAAAATTCAGCATTTTTTGTTTCAACAATAGTATTGTTTTCAAGTACATCACTTGTGACTACTAAAAATCTATATGTTGCACTGCTTTCAGCATACCCAATAAACATACAATCAGATGTTTTAGATCCTATTTTTCTTTTCTTAGGATCGGGTAACATTACTTTAGCAAGCACCCCCACACTTTCAAATATTTCAAATTAGGGGGATACCCTTCCACAACTCATAAGGAGTTTTACCGGTTTTCTTATAAGGAATTCTATTTTGTAAATGACAAGCAGATAAAATCGCTTCACCCCAAAGATTATCCGGAGCACCGGAACTAACAAGCATGCTATTCATCATTTCCTTTAAGGTCCTATTTTTTCTTTCCGCTACACCATTTGATTGTGGAGAATATGGCGGAGTTATCTCGTGAATTATGCATTCTTTTTCACATTAATCATTCAACAAAATAAATTCAGCACCTCTATCGGATCTAACTCTTTTGATTTTCTTATCTAATTGACTTTCTACTTCCTATTTATAAATTAAAAACTTATCAAAAACTTCATCTTTATTTCTCAACAAATAAACTTTTGTATATCTAGAAAAATTATCTATAAAAGTCACATAATATTTCTTCCCTCCTCTAGTCATAGTTTGTTTCAAGTCTCCTAAATCAGTATGAATTAAACTTAATAATTCAGATTGTCTAAATACTGAAGCACATGATTTCTTAATTTGTTTAGCTTCTGCACAAACTTCACACTTATCAATATTCGAAAAATTAATATTTGAAATAAAACCTTCAGAATGTATTTTTTTAATATAAGATAAACTAACATGTCCTAATCTAGCATGCCATAAATTAAAAGAATCAATCAAGTAAGCAGAAGTACTAGCATTTTCATTCATAACATTGAGTACAAACAAGCCATGGCTATAATAACCTTTGCCAACAAAATTATTATTCTTGGTCAACAAGACCTTATCAGATTCAAAAGAAACCTTCACCCCCACTTTTCTTAATAATCCCACAGAGACCAAATTGGCTCGGATACTAGGAACATGCAACACATCATTCAATGCCAAAATTTTTCCAGATGTGAGTTTGAGAAGAACTTTGCCTTTTCCAAGAACTTGAGTAGTTCTTGAGTCACCAAGATAGACAACTTCTTCTCCCTCCTCAATTTGGGTGTAATACACAAAGTCTTTTTCGGTTAGCACATATGTGCCTAGTGGCACCAGAATCTAACACCCAATCTTTCACATTGGCCACAAGGTTCACTTGGGAAACAACCGCAACAATTATATCATCCACTTTGGCTTTAGTCAAATTTACTTTAGCCTTAGTGGGATTGTCATTCCCAATCCTTTTACGGCATTGAGCAACATAGTGGCCAGGTTTGCCACACACAAAGCAGTTGCTTTTTTCCTTGAAGGTTTGATTGTTGGTTTTGGGCTTATAACCATTTCTTTCGTCATACCTGTTACTTGATTTTCTCTGACGGTTATTGTCCTCCACAAGGCTGCTTCTAGTTGCAATTTCTTTTCCTTTGTCAACAACAGCGTGCTTGCGGTTAAAATTATCTCCACCAAAAACCGTAATTTTCAAAACATCGGATAAAGATTTGGCACATGTAATTAGCGGCGGAATAACAACAGAAACAGTAGACGTAGCGGGTATAGTAGCAACAACAACAACATTAGCAGTGTTATTCTCCATAATAACAGCGTGCAAATATCCTTAAGATTGTTGGAAAAATATTGGATGATTATGGAGAATAGAAGGTTTAGCTTGAGGCGTGTCAAAGACACTCTCCTTAAGGATATTTCGCCCACACCGTGATAAATAAAATTAGGCGTATCCCCCAGGATTCAACAAGCTCTTCTAGTATAACTTGGAGCAGAAACAACAAAGATTGAATAAAAGAAAACCCAGCACAAAAGAAAAGAGAAGAAATTTTTTAACTTTGTTCACTCCACCATCATGAACACAATCACATAGTTTTATATAGGCGAAATACATAAACGGCCCCTTCAAGTTGTCCTCAACGGTCAGCCAGACACCTCAACTGACCCCATTTTCAGTTGGACACTTCAAGCCTTCATAAAGTAGGTCAATTAAACACCCGACCTCATCATCCCACCTCGCGTGAAATACACTCTCGAATTGATGTCAAACGAACAAATGATAAAATGCCATGTGTAATTTTAATTAAAAAAATTTGCCACCTATTATAAAACAAAAAAAAAAGCAATAATAATAATTTAAAAAAGAAAAAAAACAATAATTATGGAAAAAGCTTCTTTAATCACCATATCTATGAATCACCGCCAGCCCTTCCTCCTCGTCTCCATCACTTCCTCTCGTCTCCGGCCCTTCCTCCTAGTCTCCACTTTTCTTAAGCAACTATTTTGCAGAAGAGAGGAAATTGCAAAAAAAAAAAAAAAAAGCAGACCACTCACCCTTCTTCATCGGAACTTTACTTCAATTTGGATTAAGAAGCAGATCTCAAAATCCAACGTACAACACCAGTTAGATGCGAACAGAGACCATGAACGACGACGGCAACAGACTAAAAATTACGAACGGACCACCTCAAATACGTAATGGACTAAATAAACCTTACCGAAGAACTCAGACCTTGCCGAAATCCCAACGGAATCTAGAAACCAGTAGTTGGAAGCCTTGAACCAAATCTTAAGAACGGAAGATATGCCGGCGATGGAGATATTGGACACCGGGCCGGAGTATGTCGGAGGAGCAATGTTACCGATTTTCCTCAATGATTTTCGGCAAAACAACGACCTTATCACTAGTCTTAGGGTGGAGTTCGTGGTGGTTCCTTGGGATTTCATCTTCTGCTATGTTAATCTCCAAATCCTTTGTTTATATCTTCTTATTGTTGGGAATCCTACGTTCATTGTAACTACTTGGAGGCTTATTCTTCAACCGGGCCGGAGTATGTCGGAGGGGGTGGATTAATGGCGGAAGGAAGAGGTTTGGTGAAGAAGGAATATTTTGGGAAGAAAGTGAAATTAATGTGTGGAAAATAAAATATAATGGGACCCACATAAAATAATGTTAAATTTAAAAGAAAAAAGAAAAAAACCTTAATTTTGAGGGTTTCACGCGCTTAGAATTAAGTGTAAAGCACACACTTTGCCATGTCAGCGTGAATGGTTCACGAGGTCGTACTTTAGTGGAGAAGAAGTGTTAAAATGATAAACGGGTCAGTTGAGGTGTCTTGCTAACCGTTGAGGACAACTTGAAGGGGCCATTTATATATTTCGCCTTTATATATAGTCCAAAGGAAATAGACATCTTATGTAATAAAAGAAACGTTAAAATTCATTAAGGATTCACTGCCATCAAACATTATAAACATTTAAAACCAAAGAATCATTATTATTAAAGTTAATGAAATGTTATCAAAATAGACGTTAAGAAACAATCATACAAGACCAATCTTTGGTCAAATTCAAAGTTACTAAAACATAACTGATTTTGATACTCATTCATGTTAATAAAACATCAATTTTCTTAAAGCCATAATGATAGCCATTTAAGGTTAGTAAATTGTTNATATATATATATATATTAAAATATATTCAATTGATTGGTATAATAAAGATCTATTAAAATAATATTAGAAGAATGAACCAAGATATTAATTTGAATATTTCTTTTTGAGTTAGCAAATTATTTTTCCAACAAATCATCTATATGTCCTTTACAAAATCTCATGTCAAATCGATGACAAATATTATTTTCACAAAGTGAAGGATTATTTTGAGAATCCTTATTGTTCTCATTACCACAATGATGACGATTATAATTTCGTCTATTGCCACGTCCACATCCATTGATACATTCACGGTAATAATTTTGTCTTCTTTCAGACTTATTACATATTGCTACCACATTCTCTTAAGGGAATGAGAATGAAGCAAATTCAATGGGATGAATTTCTACTTCTTTGCCCACAATCATACATGAATTTGATCATGGCAAGGTATAAAAATTTTACCAATTTGGGTGGTTATAATTTCTTGCAAACTCTATTAAAGTTATAATCAAAGTTTATTGTCTTTGCTTGTATTTAAAATCAAATTATAGAATTTCAAGAATTTAAAAGAGAAAAATAAAGTAAAATACTTACCTTAAATCCAGAATTTAATTATGAAGGAAGTTCATGAAACAAAATTGATAATTATTATGCTCAATCACAAAGCTTCTACTCAATTGGTTAGAGTCTCGTGCTGATAACGTGTTATGAAACAATAAAAGTAGAGAGAAAATTCTTATTGATTTTGGATTATTTACAATGAAATAGAACTCATCTATTTATAGGGAAAAAATAAGTTAGCCACTACGTAACAAACCCTAAGATCTCTCTAAAATATACACATTCACCTTAAATAGAATTCCATTTATAACAATCCCTTTATTATGAACGGTTTATATCCGTTATATTCATCTTCCCGCAAAAAACAAAAAAAGAAACTGAAAAATCCCCATTTGCCGATAACCACACGAATCAAACTCCGCCATACCAATTCACAGCTATGGCGTCCATCACTATACTTCTCTCTCCACCAAATTTACAGTATTCACTCCCCTCTCGAAATTCACTCTTCTTTTCTCCTACAATTACAAGACTTAGAAACTCTTCTTCGTCTTCCTCCTATTCTTTAACTCCAAAATCGTTAGCAGTTTCAGCTTCTTCTTCTTCGCGTGCGCTAGAAGCTTTGATATTTGATTGCGATGGCGTTATATTGGAATCGGAGCACCTTCATCGCCAAGCTTACAACGACGCTTTCTCCCATTTCAATGTGCGTTGCCCTTCTTCTACTTCAGATGGACCGCTGAATTGGAGTCTCGAGTTCTATGATGTTTTTCAGAATCAAGTTGGTGGTGGTAAACCCAAAATGCGATGGTCATTCTCTATCTCTTCGTTTAATTTGTTCTGATTATAAGATATATGTAGTGGGTTTTAGTTATATATCTTAGTGTAATGAATCTTTTACACAATAAGTACAATTTGACTTTGTTATAGCAGGTTACTTACCATTTTATTCTAGGTTACCAATCAATGCTAGCAAGGGCGGAGGCAGAAGCCGAGCTACGGGTTCGGCCGAACCCAGTAGCTTTTGCTCAAAACAGGGTATTTGTGTTAAAAAAATATAAAATATGTACGAATATTAAATTTAGAACTCAATCATTAGCATTTGAAGTCGTCGCTCTAAAATCCAGAACACATAAGGTTGAAATCCTGGCTCCGCCTCTGAATGTTAGTAGTAGTAATAACTAAGAGTACTTCCTTTAAAGGTTTAACATTTTAAAGAATTAAATTATATGCCTAGTCAGTCTAATGATTTTTCTTTACACTATTAGTGTAGTTTAATATGTTATGACAAGTTACTTACCATATATTAAGGATTACCAATCAATGGTCCTAAAAAGTGTTACTTATAATGGCTTGTTAAGTAACTGATTTTGTAGATGTATTTTTACACTGTCTATGCATAGAATTTAAACTCAAATTTCATGACAGAAGTGTTTCATATCTTTTGATATTTCTGAGTTTGAGTCTTACCGTTACCTATTCTAAGATGATCTTCTTCATGCGCTTGACATACGAAAAATTATTTAACCCACATGTAAGGTAGCATGCTATGAGCAGTGGGGAGCTTAGTGCAGCGAAGGGGATTGTTGTAAAATTATACCGTACAAATAGAATAAAAATAAAATAATTTTTATGGTTTTATATAAACTGGTGAATCCCCAAATTCTAGTGAAGTGACAAAGGTCCAAAAATTTATTTAGGTCACAGGTTCAAACACAAGTGTGACATTTTCTTATATTTTTGAATCCTTTTATATAAGTTTCTAGTTTCCGCTGGCTATGAGATAATTAAAGAAATAGAATAGAGAAGTTAGTTTCTTTCGCTGGATAAACTTTCAAATTTCCCTACTATCCTATCAGCACGGCAATCACAAATACAATCACTAGTGGAAGGAAGAAGAGTGGTATACTTTTTGACTTTTTCTTAGCTTAATAGCTTAATAATTCAACAAGCGTTTTTTGATGTGTAAAAAAGTTTTGATGGGCAATGAGACTGATCCAATGGTTTACACAAGCTTTTAGATGAGGTTCTTTCACACTTTTCTAACATTAGCATATACTAATGGAGTGTTTCGGATTGTCTTGATAGGTATTTTAAGGAGCATGGATGGCCAACTTCAACAATCTTTCAGAATCCTCCGGAGGATGACAGCGATAGAGCCAAGCTCATTGATACTCTTCAAGTACTATATATCATATTTTTTTATATTCTTTTCACTATCACTAGTGACTTGACATGTGTTGGTACCTTTTGGCTTTCTTTTCATTCTTTCCGTTTTTGTAGGATTGGAAGACTGAGAGGTACAAACAAATAATCAAATCAGGAACTGTGAGATAAATGATCTATATTCATTTTTCCTTTGTAATTCGTTTAAATGCTGTAACATATCCAATTTTCTTTTACAAACCAGCTTGATATTGCTTTTGGCAGGTTAAGCCAAGACCAGGAGTTTTAAGATTGATGGACGAAGCCAGGGCTGCTGTAAGATATTTACCTTATAATACAGTTCTTACTCTATAATGGTACTTTATGTTTGGTTATTTGATCTGAAGAAGATAACTTTGAAGGGTAGCTAGGGTGATTATCTTTTAAGTGGATTCATGTATTTCACTTTCTGTTCTATGCTCAGAGAGAATCTCATAGTCAAGTGGCATTAATGCCTTTTCGTCTGTATCTCAGGGCAAGAAGCTCGCTGTCTGCTCTGCTGCAACCAAAAGTTCAGTTATAATGTGTCTTGAGAATCTTATAGGACTTGTAAGTCTTCTGCTTTCTGGAAGCATGTTTCCTTTAAGTATTATTTCTTGTCGAACATGGTTAATTGTTTGTGCCACTTGCTTTTAGGATCGGTTCAACGGTCTTGATTGCTTCCTTGCAGGTATGTATCTTTATCCTTTCTGGACTTGTTTTGATGGTTTGTACTACCTATTTTGGTAAAAACGCATGCTAAAGTCATAACTAGTTAATAAAGTACAGGGAAGCAAAACAAAAAGATCGTGAACATGATAATAATTTCCCTGCAGCAGGGTGTTTGCAACAATTCCATCAATCTCTGTCCATCATAGATACAAAAATTATCGAGATGTTAAAAGTCAATTTACTTCTCACCAGAAACAGTTGAAATCAGACGCAACTTATTTCAACATATTGATGGCTAGTTACTTCTGATTCTATAGGAAATGACTATTTGCAACTTGTAAGTTTATAGGCAACGTTAAGGGTGCAGTGGTAGGTGTTATGCGTTCAAGCTAATCAGTTCCTACACAATTCCGAAATTACTTACAAGTACCTCATGTTACGTAGACAAAGCTAGTCTTTGATGATATTATACTGGCCCAAAGGTATCCTATGGTACTGTTGGTTAGTAGTTGAAACCCGTAAGCGGTCAAGAAGTGGGAGAGTTCTGTTTTAATGATAAATAGGAAGATGGAGAATCTTGTACCCCAATCTAAAAGATATGTAGTAAAAGATCAGTAACACAAGCATAGAGCATAAGAGGCTTAGTGCGGCTTCTCCAACTTGAATCTATTGAATTTTTCCTAGTTTCATGTATTTGTATGCTGAAAGTTGTCTGGTTAGTAATGTGATTTCAATTCTATTATGCTGTTGCAAACTGAAGTTTTGCAGATAAATCAATTCTGGTTTCAGCACCTCCATTACATCTTGAAACTACTACTACTATATATGATACATGATTTTAGTCACTAGGAGATTAACTTTCTGTGCTAGATATGTTCAGCACAAGATTCTCAGAATATGTAATATATTTTGGCTTTTGTAATTTCCAGGTGATGATGTGAAAGTGAAAAAGCCTGATCCTTCAATATACATTACAGCTGCCGAGGTGATTAACAGTTTAAAGTATTTGCACTTGAAAGCCGCATATTCTAATTTTTACTTACTGCTTTGGACATTTGGTTTGTATTTTGGCAGAAACTTGGCGTCTCAGAAAGCAATTGTTTGGTGGTGGAGGATAGTGTCATCGGGCTACAGGTTCATCTCTCAATTTTCTGGAAAGAGCCTTATATTTTTATTCATTAATGTGGTGCTTATGCTTCTCTGAGATGTGGGTCTATTGGAAAGAGCCTCTCTATCTCCACAAGGTAGGGGTAAGACTGCGTACACACTACCCTCCCCAGATCCCACTATATGGGATTATACTGGGTTTGTTGTTGTTGTCTTATAATTTTATGTTCTTTTGAGTGGCTGTGTTTAGTTCGAAGTAGTCGTTTGATTCTTATAAAATGTGGACAAAGAGTAGTAGCACATGAAAATTTAATGTCTATTTGTAACTCACCCTCATTAGAATGTATTTGCCTTCTTGCGAAACGTATCTCATCTTCTTAATAGGCTTATGTGCCCGATGAAAATTATATTGTTATGGTTCGGATATGTGAACTACAATGTTCATTATTACATGAATACCTTTTGTGTTTGCCAGAGTAACTGTTCTGCAGTATATATTTTAACTGTTCTGAACCATCTTTTTTTACCAAACTCTGTACTTAACCAATTTCTCAGGCTGCAACTGGTGCTGGAATGTCATGTGTGATAACCTACACATCATCTACCGCGGATCAGGTAACACATATCATTCTGTTCTCCTTCAAAAATTACATACTGTCGACTCCCCTGCTTAATCACCATCGAGCATGTTATCATGCTTCGCAGGATTTCAAAGAAGCCATAGCAATATATCCTGACTTAAGTGATGTTAGGTATGAATATATGCTGCTCATTTTGTAGTATAGTACAATTTACTTCTAGGGATGGTGGACTTATGACTAGTTACTTGTTGCATCCTTGCAGATTTAATGATTTAGTATCACTTCTTCAAGATGTTGTGGTCGCGAAATAGGGTAGAGGGCCGGGCCATTATCCTAGTATATCGAAGCAGAAACAGCGGATTTCTAGCTTTTGCAAGCTATTTGAAGTCCCTAAATGTGCACGAAAGCTTCACTTTCAGGAAGAAATCTACTAGAAGCCTTCGCTGTATTTAGAGGTGGTTCTGCTGCTGTATCATTTTTATTCTAAAATATACTGTTCATAATTAAATTATTCATTTGTGTAAAATAACAGTTATTACGTCCCATTGGTAATACTTAATTTCTATGTATATGTCAATAAACTGTAGTCTTATTTCTCAGTTCCCAGCACTTCGCCTACCCCCCCCCCCCCCAAACCACCCCCCAAAAAATTCCAGTCTTTCCAACTAAGCACCTCAAGTTGGGAAAAACATACATAATAAAAGCATTTGACGTATGTGATATTGATTTAATTCCAGAAAAAAAAATGGATTTAATTGATTTAGCCAAAGTGCGTGAAATTTGATAAAAGTACCATTACCATAGGCTTTAAATTGTGATTATTTTTTTAGCATTCTCAATATTACTTTTTTCTTTTCTGTTCAATGCTTTCGCAACACAAAATTTAATCAATACGCTTACCTATTCAAAAGTTAAATAATTCGCAATTTTAATTCTTTCATTTGGTGATCTTGTCGAACAACAAATTAGCATTTAGGGAACTAGAAATATAATTTTCGATTATGTAGTTTATAACTTTATATGAAAACCAAGCAAAAGTATGACTTCCATTTTCGTTGACTTTATTAAGGTTCACCTAAAAATAAAATAGGGTGTGGAGATCCTTCCATTATTAGCTAGAAGTCTCATGTTCGAGCAATGAAAATGATGAATCTTTTCATAGAGAGTGTCTTACTCTTTTAGCGGGCTTACAAGATGTGAATCTGAATTAGTCAATGGAGGTTTTAAATACCGGATGTTTAAATTACCAAAGTATATATAATATTAAGTTTACAGTCTTAAACAAATCCGACCTTAGCTCAGTTGGTAGAGCGGAGGACTGTAGTTGGGGGTGTAAACCTTTCAGATATCCTTAGGTCACTGGTTCGAATCCGGTAGGTCGGAACTTTTTTTCCATTTCATTTCTTTTACTCTTTTCTGTTGGTTTTTCTTATGTGGTTTTCCTTTGCAAAGTTGGACCCAGGATTTAAATACTGCGTATGCATTTAATGTTTCCAACTATTTAGGCAATATTTGAGCAAAATAATACTCCCTCCGGTCCAAAATAAGTGATTCTTTGGCCTTTTTTTGTGGTCCAAAATAAGTAATTTTTTCAAATTCCAAGAATTAATTAATTATTTTTTTTCCTACATTGCCCTTGGAGTAAATAGTGTTGAAGTATGTGTTAGGAGTGTTTATGTAAAGAGATAGTAAAAGTTAATATGGTCAATTTTATTGCTAATTAATGTTAAAAGGTGAATTTTTAATCTGTGTGAAAACAGCTAAAAAATCACTTATTTTGGACCGGAGGAAGTACCTGAATAGCAAGATATTTAGCTCAAAGTTACACATAAAACAAACATATTTTGAACTCTAAATCTTGAAGGCATGGTGAGCGCAATGCAAAGTCATGTTTATAGTGTAGAAGTCTCACCTAATAATTTTCCCAATTATTCAGCAAATCAATGTTCTTACAAGCACAATTGAACAATCTAGCTGCACCAATTCACACCCTATAATTATTGATGGATTAACTTTAGTATTAAAGAATATAATTATGTCTTCTGCTTCTATATATCTTTCAGCTTATCCAATGGTAGATAGCTCACCCAGCAAAAATAAACTAATAGGTCAAGAATGAAGAAGTTTATATTCTGTATCGTGAATTTTTTCTGGTAATTTGCCTGAATCTCTTGGCTATCTAACTTCATTGCATTATTTGTCACTTGATTCTTGCAATCTCTCGGGGCCTATTCTTGAATCTATTTCGAATTTCACCCGCACAGTGTATTTGTTCGTTGAAGGTAACTCCCTGAACGGAATAATACCATCCTGTATATTCTCCCTCTCATCACTAAGCTACTTAGACTTGAGCTTTAACGAGTTGCCGGGTCCTCTTCCCAAGTCAATTCAAAACCTTATGAGCCTAATGCGACTTGATCTTTTCAGGCCTCAAACATCTTGTGTATCTTGATCTTATGATAGATCAAGTCGAGTTAGGCTCATAAGGTTTTGAATTGACTCGGGAAATGGACCTTGCAACTTAAAACTCAAGTTTGAATAACTTAGTGATTAAAATGGAGAATATACCGGATCATATTTTTCCGTTTAGGGAACTACCTTCAAAGAACAAATACTCTGTGCAGGTGAAGATTCAGGAATAGGCCCCGAGAGATTGCAACAATCAAGTGACAATTAATGCAGTGAAGTTAGGTAGCCAAGAGATTCAGGCAAATTACCAGAAAAATCCCTCCAATGTAATATCTTCTTCACTCTTTTAATCTTGTTTGTGGCAATCGCCATTATTGTCCTGCTTAGTATGAGGGTGAGAATCAAGAAGGAAAGACTTCAAGTGTTTGTAAAGCTCCTTCGGTTTCTCCATGTTAATTGCATGTCCCGCATCCTTTATTATCACGAGTTGGGCGTTCTCGCCTAAATGCCTGCTCCATCAAAGCGAATTCAGACAAAACACTAAGTTAGTCGTTTAATTCTTGTAAGTGGAGGGGATTGAATGGAGGAAACATTAAAAATTGAAACAAAAAAGGAAATGAACTAGTCTAGTATTGTAAGATTGACCTTTTTAATCTGTGAGCCAATTCCAGTGGGAATATCTGATCATATTCTCCCCATATTATCAACGTGGGCTGCGTAAAGGAGGTAAACACAGTTAAGAGAGCTCAGATCGATGAGAGAACATCAGAAAGGGAACTAATGACAAGCGGTAATTATTGAACTTTTTTTGCCGAGGGTCTATCGGAAACAACCTCTTCTCCACAGGTTAAGGGTAAGGTCTGCATACATACTACCCTCCCCAAACCCCACTTGTGGGATTATACTGGATTGTTGTTGATGTAAGTGGCAGAGATGAGATCATAGTTTTGTACGAACCTGAGTAATATTAGGAAGATCAGAGAACTTTCTGTTATTGTGTAATGCTTCGATCAACTCCTTTCTTTCTTGATGATTAACTGTGCACATTACCTGCAACAACAAGAAAACAAAACACGTAAATACCAACTTCAAGTTGAACGATTGTGACATATATTCAAACTTCTAGTACTAATGAGAAGCCAAATGTAAATAAGAGCTGGATTAGTTGATGCATCCGCTAAATGTCTATAGCATCTTCGTCTAGCTGCGGTCAAAATTCTACTAGGTGAAAGCCTCAAAGTTGATTTCACGGACCCTCCTCGTATTTCTAGTATATTGTACAATAGCAGTGCATATTTCACACATCCATTTATCATCTCCCACAAGACAATATCTATGAGAAAACTTAAAACTTCTTTTCTCACAATTAACGTCCATGTTTGAACTCCATTTCCAAAAAACATATAGGAGTCAAAACTAAAGTCCTCAAAAGGTCATTGCATAACTCCGTATCACTAGTGAACAACATTCAGCAGTAGCTTTGATCTGAAAGTCATTCTTGGAACAAAACAAGATAGACATGTTTTAATGTTTTCAAAACTATAGCATTGGAAAGAATCAATAGCAACCGACCTTAGCTCAGTTGGTAGAGCGGAGGACTGTAGTTGGGGTGTAAAACCTATCAGATATCCTTAGGTCGCTGGTTCGAATCCGGCAGGTCGGATTGATTCTTTTTGCCATCTTCTTTTAATAATTATTTTAATCTGTAGAGGATAGGTTTCCCATATAATATAGTCCTACTCTGATAGAGGTGCATGAAAACAGTTTATTACCATTATTTTTGGAGATAGCAACTTATAAAAATATATTTGTGTCAGTAGTATCAGATTCCCTGCAATCTCCTATTTCTAAATCCAAGCAGAGGCTTAAAATTTTAGTGAGAAATCCAGACCAAAAAAAACTAGCTTATCTATACCAAAGTAAGAAAACAACAAGCACCCAACTGTCACAAATGTCTTGAAATATCAATACAACAACTGTGCCTCAATCTCAAACAAGTCGGGCCGGCTATATGAATACTTACTAACCATGTTTCTCCATTTAAATTCATCTTAGGTCAACATTATGTTTCGTTTCTTGACATACCAGTCTCTGTCAAAATTTCAAGAGTACATGCTATAAATAATATTTGACAAAAAGAAAAAGGGGCACCAGGTGGTGAGGGGAAGGAAAGAATTTATCCTTGAAATACGAATAGCTTATCAAATTTCAAGAATAAATGCTACATATAATATTTACATCAACAACAAACCCAATGTAATCCCATAAATGGGGTATGGGGAGGGTAGTGTGTACGCAGACCTTACCCCTACCTTATAAAGATAGAGAGGTTGTTTCCGATAGACCCTCGGCTCAAGGAAAGGTGTCCTACGTATAATATTAGAGAAAGAGAAAGCACAACAACAACAACAACAACAACAACAAACCCAGTGCAGACCGCGCTTGTGGGATCACACTGCGTTAGTTGGTTGTTGTTGTAAAGGGGCGCACCAGGGTGGTGGAGGGGAAGGAAAGAGTTTATATAGACAATCAGACAGCAAGAGCTTGAAATCTGATACATAGGCGTGAAAACACAGAAGGAACACCTACAGAACAAATAGTGGTGCAAAAGGAACATCATAAGAGCAAATAACTAGAAGGATGCAATGCACATAGATCATGACAATTTGGGCTTCTTTGGAGCCCGAACTGGTAGAAGATATTGTAAACTTCAGGAAAAAAGGTACACATGTAACCATACATCTTATAATAAACTTTAAGAGTTTCTTCTCAACTTCATGTTTTTGAAGTTGTAGATGGAAGACGAAATTCAGTCTTGGAAATCACTAAGTAAGATCACAATACAATGTTATCAAGATTTGAAGGTACAGGCAAGATCAAGCAACAACAAAACCATTTTCAAGGCATTAGCATGAGTTATCCAACTTTAAAAGGTCATTGCATAACTCGATATCACTGGTGAACAACACTCAACAGTAGTTGATTGGAAAGTCGTTCTTCGAACAAAACAAGATAGACATGTTTTAATGTTTTCAAAACTATAGCATTGGAAAGAATCAATAGCAACCGACCTTAGCTCAGTTGGTAGAGCGGAGGACTGTAGTTGGGGTGTAAAACCTATCAGATATCGTTAGGTCGCTGGTTCGAATCCGGCAGGTCGGATTGATTCTTTTGCCATCTTCTTTCTCTTATTTTAGTCATACGTTTTTTTATAAGGTAAGACTTTCTTATATATATTTTTAATCTGGAGAAGAGGGATTTTTCATATAATATAGTCCTAACTCTGACAAGAGGTGCATGAAAACAGTTTATTAGCATTAGTTTTGGCTATAGAAACTTATAAAAACATTTTCTTGTTTCAGTTGTGTCAGATTCCCTGCAATCTCCTATTTCTTAATCCAGGCAAAGGCTTAAGATTTCAGTGAGAAACCTAGACCCACAACCAGTGGCGAAGCCACATGGTCATAAGGGTGGTCAACTGACCACCCTTCGTCGAAAAATTGCACTGTGTACATTGATAAAATATTACGTTTTAGATGTATATAATACATATTGAACACCCTTTGTCAGAAAAAATTTTCACTTCTTTTAAATTTGAACACCCTTGGAGAAATTCCTAGCTTCGCCACTGCACACAACAACTAGCTTCTTTATCAATGTAAGAAAACAACAAGCATCCAATTCCAACTGTCACAAATGTCTTGAAATACCAATAGGTGGTGGAAGGGAAAAAGTTTACACAGACGAACAGCAATAACATGAAATCCGATACTTAGGCGTGGACATGCAGAAGGAATGCCTACAGAACAAGTAGAGGTACAAAAGGAACATCATAAGAGCAAATAAATAGAAAATGCCAATGCACATAGATCATGACTATTTGGGCTTCTTTGTAGCCCGAACTGGTAGAAGAATAATGTATACATCAGGCAAAAAAGTGGACAAAATGAAACATCTTATAAACAACTTTCAAAATCTATATCTCAACTTCATATATTTGAAATTGGAATTGGAAGACAAAATTCATTCTTGGAACTCAGTAGGTAAGATCACCTTACAATGTTATCAAGATTCCAAGGTACAGTCAAGATAAAAAAAGTAACCTACTGAAGTGAAAACTGATTCTTGGAACAGAACAAGATAGACATTTTTAATGTTTTCAAAACCACAGCATTGGAAAGAATCAATAGCAACCGACCTTAGCTCAGTTGGTAGAGCGGAGGACTGTAGTGGGGTGTAAAGCCTATCAGATATCCTTAGGTCGCTGGTTCGAATCCGGCAGGTCGGATTGATTCTTTTGCCATATTTTTTATTATTTATAATTACTTTAATCTTGAGAAGAGGGGTTTTCCATATAATATACTGCCATTCTGACAAGAGGTGCATTAAAATAATTTATCACCATTGTTTTTGGCAATAGCAACTTATAAAAAATACATTCTTGAGTCAGTTGTGTGAGATTCCCTGCAATTTCCAATTTCTTAATCCAGGCAGAGGCCTAAAATTTCAGTGAGAAACACAGACCTAAAACAACTAGTTCTCCATACCAATTAAATAGAAAAACAAGCTCCAAACCGTCACAAATGTCTTGAAATACCAATCATTTATCAAATTTCAAGAGTATATATTACATATAATATTTCAGAAAGAGAAAGAGGGTACCAGGGTGGTGGAACGGATGGGAAGAGTTTATATAGACAAACAGACAGCAAGAACTTTAAACCGATACTTAGGCTTGAACGGAATGCCTAGAGAACAAGTAGTGGTGCAAAAGGAACATCATACGAGCAAATAACTAGAAGGATGCAATGCACATAGATCATGACAATTTAGGCTTCACTGGAGCGAGAACTGGTAGAAGAAATAATGTCTTCAGGTCAAAAGGTAGATAAATCATCAAACATCTTATAAACAGCTTCAAGAGTTTCTTCCTCAACTTCATATATTTGAAATTGTAGATGGAAGACCAAATTCATTATTGGAACTCACTAAGTAAGATCACTATACAATGTTATCAAGATTCCAAGGTACATGCAAGATCAAGCAAAAAAGGGCAGCCCGGTGCACTAAGCTCCCGCTATGCGCCGGGTCCGGGGAAGGACTGGACTACAAGGGTCTATTGCAGCCTTATCCTATATTTCTGCAAGAGGTTGTTTCCACGGCTCGAACCTGTGACCTCCTAGTCACATGGAAGCAACTTTACCAGTTACGCCAAGGCTCCCCTTCATGCAAGATCAAGCAACAACAAAACATTTTTTAAGGCATAAGCATGAACTCCCCAACTTTATTTTATTTTTTGATAAGGAAAAGATGCTCATGCTCATGAAATAGACATTAGCATGAGCTCCCCAGCTTTCAAAGATCATTGCATAAATTTTTACAACAATATTCAGCAGTAGCCTTGAGTATTTCACTCTTGGAACAAGACAAGACAGACATTTTAATGTTGTCAAAACCACTGCATGGGAAGAATCAATAGCAACCGACCTTAGCTCAGTTGGTAGAGCGGAGGACTGTAGTGGGGTGTAAAGCCTATCAGATATCCTTAGGTCGCTGGTTCGAATCCGGCAGGTCGGATTGATTCTTTTGCCATGTTCTTTCAATAATTAAATTAATCTGGAGAAGAGGGGTTTTCCATATAATATACTCCTACTCTGACAAGAGGTGCATGAAAACAATTTATTACCATTATGTTTGGCCATAGTAACTTACAAAAATATATCCTTGTGTCAGTAGTGTGAGATTCCCTGCAATCTCCTATTTCTTAATCCAGGCAGAGGCTTAAATTTTTTGTGAGAAACGCAGACCCACAAAAACTAGCTTCTCAATACCAATGTAAGAAAACAACAAGCACCCAACTGTCACAAATGTATTGGAATATCAATACAATAAATGCGCCTCGGTCCCAAACAAGTTGGGTCGGCTATATGAATCCTCACTAACCATATTTCTCCATTTAAATTCATGCCAGACCAACATCATATTTCATTTCCTGAAATACCAATCGTTTATCAAATATCAAGAGTACGTGCCACATGTAATATTTGGGA